AAGAACCCATTGTGGCCCTCGAGTCAAAAAGTTTGCCCACCCCTAGTTTAGCTTCTATATTTGCAACATTGTTTCTTAGACTGCAGCTCAGAGACCGGCCGCGGCAGGCGGGAACCTTGGCTTCCTCTGTCACTGGAGAAAGTAAACCTCCTGTTCGCTTCAGCTGCCTAGCTGCCGGCTGCCATCTTGGTTGGCAGTTAATTTGCATATCACCCTGATTAGCCAATGGGAAGGGTAGCGAAGTTACAGTTAATTACCACGTTTCTCTTTTATTATATAGGATTTCTTTTTGTTTCAAATTGGTGGGCAGTGTCAATTAGTTTTTAAATGACAAAAATAGTTTATTCAGTACATGCTATTACTTCTGAAGAAAATATAAGGGAATATATCAAATTCCAAAAGGATCAATTTATATATAACTACTAAAATTTTAGATCTAGTGCTTGGTTTGCTCCTTGGAAAGAGAAATAGCTCAGGCTGCACTACTCAAAACTAAATGATCCAACGCTACTGAGTCAAGAAAACAATTTAGGATTATGATTGGGATATTGTAGGTAATATTAGCAAAAACATTCTATGGATGAGATAGTGAGTCAATTATTATTGCATGACTTAAATTTTGCCTGCACTGCTTAATACAAGGACTATTCTTATGCTTGTAGAATAATTTATGAAAAAGATATGGCTTATTTTCTCAGGCTCTTATTCTTAGAATGGTCAAATTCCCCGGAGAAAGTTCTTTCACTTCCTAGAGGGTATATGCCCAACTGCCAGTACTCTGGGAGGTCAGCGGCAGACAGAGGGGTAGGTCTCATCAATGGGTAAATTTTCTTTCACCTGTTTTCAGTGAGGTTCCTATGCCCTTAATGTGCTGATGTCCTCCAGTCAAATGCTGTCTGTTTTGCCTCTTAAAGAAAATTGGCTTTTCATCTTTCTTTCTTTCTTTTTTTTAATATATTTTTTATTGATTAAGGAAAAAACTGCATTTATTTTACACACAAGCAAGGATGAGCTTACTTCATATTTATATGGAAATATAAAGTGCCAAAATTG